AGGCTTTGAGGATTTAGGCTTGAGGACTATCAGCAAAGCTAAGCTTAGGGTTGAATGCAAGGCGGGCCAGAACCTGCGGGAGAGCCTTCAGGGAAAAGAAGTCAAGGGCTGAGGGCCCGGCCTTGAGCAGGCAAAGCACCACCACCACAGACCCCCGTCCGGAATTGAAGAACTCCAGAACCCCCATTCAATGATTGGATGTCATTGGGAGACGGGCCTAGCCTTCTTAGCCCGTACGTATCGTAGTAAGCCCCAACTTCAACGAGCTGGCCGAAGCCCACGAATCTGAGGGCCAATCCGGCCAGCGGCAGAAGATAATGCAGCGCAACCACTGGGCGGGCTCTTCACCAGTGAATCGGAGCCTGAGTGGCGTCTACAGTAAACCCTTAGCAAACATCAACCCGCGCAACGCAGCTTGGGCAACGCGGGGCCTGTTCAGTCTCCCAATCCTGGTGCCTGTTCAGCACCTGTTCTGCACTCAACCCCGGTGCCTGTTCAGCACCCGACCCCGGTGCCTGTTCAGCACCCGAGTCCCCGGCACACACAAGAAGCGTATCGCCGGAGATGACGCGGCATCAGGGGGTTAACGACTGAAGGGTTTAAGTTTCATGTAGGGTTTCGGATGTCGGGTTTAAGGGGTTTGCGATTTGGGATTTAAGATTTAGATCAGTTTAGGGTTTAGGGCTTACAGAATGTTTACTGGGGAGGTCTCAATCAAGGTCGGTGCTTGAATCTCGATTTTGAACCATGACTGTATTGAAAAACACAGGCTTGGGCAAACATAAAAAAATATCCCCAACAAGTGGCAAGTCCCGGAAAAGTTTCGATGATGGTAACTCCGGGTTGGGGTTTGAGCAAACGGGGTACGTAGAAGGTTCAAGTTTAGGGTCTGGTGTGTAGTGACGGTGAGCCTGGGCTTGGGGCATATTGTGTAAACTGTACATAGTCATATAGGGTTGAGGGTTTTCGGCTCTAAACCCTACACTATATGTACATGAAACGTGTTGCTAAAAAACCATGTGTTGTGCCTGCCAGCTATGCTGGCAGGCATGCTTTTCCGACGTGTTGCAAAAACACTGTATATATGCCTGCTTTGCCCTTCGTAGACATAGTTGACCATCTTTGGGGTCCTAACACACATGCTCTTACTCAAACTTCTCCTAATTGCTTGGTCGGTTGCTCGTACAAAAAAAACCCGCAGTCACTTTCATTGCGCACAGAGGTTTAACAACTCACACAAGTGCTAGAGGACTCCTTGGTCCGTGTTGCAAGACAAGACGAATGGAACTAACTGATCAACCATCCACGCACACCGTAGTCCCCAAAAAATAGCATGAACCAAGGGCCATCCTCAAGCATGCATACAGATCGATGTCCAAACCACTCCCCCACTCACCCTGCCCCCCCCCCTCCCCCCTCCTCCTCTCGCACGCTCTCTAAGCCCTAAACCCTATGAGTCCTGTAGCTCCGACTCCAATAGGCTCAACTCCGTCTCCAGGTGCTGCTGATCTGCTAGGAGCTGCTCCTGGAAGCGTAAGGGTTTGGGGTTTGGGGTTTGGGGCTTAGGGTTTAGGGTTTAGGGAAAAGGGTTTAGGGTTTAGGGTTTAGGGTTTAGGGTTTCGCGTATAGGGTTTAGGGTTTAGAGTTTACGCTTTAGGGTTAGGGTCTAGGACTCAGGGGGTGTAGCATCATCAGACTTACTCTTCGTGTCTTCTATGTTCTCGCGTTCTTGATTGTTGATCGTTGAATAAAGCTCTTAAAAGCGACAGACGCAAGCACATGGAAAACGTCGAAAAGAGCTGATACGGTTAGGATGAAGGCCCTACCAAGGCGTGTAGCAACATAAGATGCCTGACCTTTGCCACATACCCTTCAACCCTCCGAAGCCCCTAAGCCCTCAACCCGTCTTCTTCGAACCCTCGACTTGACCCCGAAACCCGGCCCTGAAAACCGCGAAACCCTAAACCAAAAATTCCCTCAAGTCCCCTAGAAGTCCAAAATGACCAAAACCTTAACCCGAAGCTCCCCTATCTCTGAACCCTAAACCCTAAACCCGAAACCATAAACCATATGAGAAACAAAAGAAAGAACCTCAGGGAAGGAGAGAAGGCGGAGCAGCGGCACCACGTGCTCGGGCCCGCCAGGCTCTCCAACAAGGCCGGCAGGCGGAGAGCGTTCATGCCGCCGTAGGTAATTGGGGTGGTCGGCTTCCACTCCACGTAGTCAAGGGCCTTGCCCTGGCTCGAGACGCTGCAGGCGCCAGCGAAGGTCGCGGCGGAGGCCTTGTTGGCCTGTAGTCACATGTGGAGTACTGATGAATATTAATTTTCAACACCGGCATGCCAAAAGTGTCTTGCTATGATTTTGTGCCACGAGTGAAGACCCTCTGTGTTGGGGGATCCTTTCGCAGAAGTGGCTGAACTGCAAGCACTCATCGAATGCTGTTGAAAATCAAGATGGCCAAGAATGTTACAGTACGGCGCTAGTTGCTGCTTTGCAGTCTCAGCTGGATGTGGCCACGAGCCCTTCCTCAAAAATTCTGGGTTGCCGAAAAAAGAAACAAGATCGCCGGTGTTTGAGGTCTTCCTTCTCAAGGTTCCCCCTCGAGGCACCAACACGCATCTACGCTTTGCTTTTTGCAGCCCGTAGCACAATGGCCGGAACGCTGATGAGCTGCACGCCCTTGGCAACCCACCGCCACTCCTTGGATCTGGGGATTGGTGCTTCAGAATTCGCGAATAACCAACAAGATTGTAGGAGTGTGGCTTTCGGGCTTAACTGATGGCGGAGGCTTTATCGAGGCAGTCGGGTCCACTATGCTTTCTAAAGTGGTATATTCAGTCTTGAGAGATGCGGGGACCAGGTTCCTTCCATATGAATGATCGTGCTCACCATTGCATGCTCTGCTGCAAGAACGCTCGGCACTTACGCAGGGTTGCTTCGGAAGAAAACTTTGCCAAGTCACAAGGAACGTCCTAACCTGGGAAAGCCACGTTCCGAAACCGCTGCAGCCCACGTCCGGGATCAATAGAACGATGAAGGCCCTGGGGGCCCGAAACGCTGCACGACCAGCACCCGCCCCATCCTAGTCCGTGCATGCCCAAGGACCCGCATGCAGGGCAGTCGAGGAATGCTCTGGCTCCTGGGCGGAAGGGTCGGGTTCTTCCTAAAACCTTTGCTTTCACATTCTGACATGCTCAACGCAAGAAAAGCCAAAAACAAGCAGAGCAGGAGCCCCATGCCCGCACCTCAATGTCTTGTCTTCCTTGGTCCTAGATGGATCGAAATACAAGGCGCAGTGTGGAGCACATCCAGAGCGAGCCGTTCGCTGCTGGACAGACCGTCGCCGGCTGGTCGCAACCGCAGCCGGCCTACCACATTCACCGCGATCTTTAGAAGCACCTGTGGGGTTTGTGTGTGTCTGTTCCTAGGACGCAGAGCTTGGCATGAGCGCTGCACAGCTGCTGAGCTAGAACCCATTTATGTCATCTAACTTGCAGGCCACTAAACCTTACCCTGCTGCCATGAGCATGCGCAACTGTCTCGTCCTCTGCACGGGTTTGCTGGGGTGCCCTCTCTTCCTTGCATATAAGGCCTGGCCTCAGAGATTCCAAGCGACTACCAAAAACCGCTGGAGGCAAGCAAGGTGACCACAGTCCAATGGGGAACAATGGGGAAGGTGACGCCAGGGCGTGCAAAGCGTCTTCCAAACCTGTGGTTCCGGGCTTACGGGGCTGAGGGGCCTTAGAGCTTTCAAGGGGGCTTGGGATGACAAACTTTGTAGCAGGCATGCTCCCGGAAAAAAACACCGTATGTATGCCTGCCAGCTGTGCTGGCAGGCATGCTCCCGGAAAAAGACACTGTGTAAAGGCCTGCCAGCTATGCTGGCAGGCATGCTCTCTGGTGGGGGTGTGCACACAAACATGAAAAGTGTGTAGAAACAGGTTCCTGGACAAACGTGTAGACAGGGTTCTAGAGGCCAAAAGCGACCGAAACGGTGCAGATAGAATATTTTCCTGTACCCCTCGCCCCAGTTCCCCGCAACGTAATACGAACGGTCTCGGGTTTAAAGGGCTAGGGTTCAGGGTTAGGATTTAGGCACGTAAAGGTTTAGGCTTTTGGGGTTTTGGGGCTTCGGGGTGCGAGGGCTTAAGCTTTAGGTTTCGTGGTTTAAGGGGGAAGGTTAGGACTTATAGGGTTGAGGGCTCTTCGGCATCCTACGAAAAGGGTGGTTTTGGATTAAGGATCCCTTAACTGCACCGACACTGCAAGGGTTACGTGAGTAGAAGATCCGGGACCCCCAACCCCTCCAGGCAGATTGCTCAACCTTGAGCCCCAAATAACCCCAGCGCCAAGGCCCTGAGCCTGGCGCGAAACTATTGTGCACGAGCTGAGAAGATCTTCATCGGAAAATATTCTATCTGCACCGCACTTTTGTTTTAAAATGCTCAAAACGCTAGCAAAAACATATGTTTTCGAAAATTACACGCAGACCCGAAACAACACCGGAAAAAAAAAAAAAAAACTCGTCGGAAATTATTCTATCTGCACCGCTGAGAAACATTCTATCTGCACCTTCGGGGCAAAAATACTCTAAAACTCAAAAAGCATTCTATCTGTAAGCCCCCATTTGATGAGAAAAAAAGCTCAAAAAACATGCTGTCTGCTGGGGGTTTGCTGTGCACCCTAAACCTTTGGAGCTTTTAGGGGTTGAGGATAACGAAAGACTCTACCCTCAACCCTCAACCCGAAAACATAAACCCGATATAAAGCCCCGTAGAGCCCGAAATCCCCAAACCTTTCTTAAGGACATCGGATTTATTGAGGGATCCGAAGCTCCCTATCAACCTATAGAGGGTTGAGGGGAAAGGTTTAGGCAACCTAGAACCCTTAGTCCCCCAAACCCCAAACCCTAAACCCTAAACCCTTAACCCTAAATCCCCAAACACGAAGCCGTCACGAAGGGGTACTACACAGGGCAACTTCAGGGTGCCTTGGGATCACACGGGCGCAGTGATCTCGACATCGAACTCCTCATCATCCGAGTCCTCTGCACCAGTTGAGGGTATGGTTTAAGGTTTAGGGTTTAGGCTTTAGGGTTTAGGGTTTAAGGTTTTGGGTTTAGGGTTTAAGGGTTTAGCTTTTTGTCGGTGCCCCTTTCTTTCGAGGCAGAGGCTCAACAGTATGTGCTGTTGGAAACGAAAAACCCTGAAATCCCAAAGCAGACAGCATCCAGAGCTCAAAAGCCACCTTTTTCGGGTTTACGGTTTAGGGTTTACGGTTTCGGGTTTAGGGTTTAAGGGTTTAGGGTTTCCTACACCCCCGACGCAACCAATTCAGGCGCACAACAATGCCGCACATCACGCAACCTGTAGGTACTTGGAGTTCTTGGATAGCCTGAACAAGTTCTCAAGGTTGGGTTTGTTCAAAGCTTCCTGTTCAGTCAGGGCCTCGAACAACCCTAAAGCCCCAAACCCAAAACCCTAAACCGTGTAAATCTTAAGCTTGTAAGGGGGTTTACGACAAAAAGGAACCCTAAAACAGGACCCCGCGTAGTAGGATTTCCCTATAATCAGGACCCAAACAATTAGGCACCCCTAATTTCGGAAACCCCCCATAAGGCTTCCTGCCTACAAAGACTCGAGGGGGGGTCCCCTCCCAAAGCCTCGCGTCAAATGAGCTTAGGCAGACCTTGGATTGAAGGTTTAGGGTCGAAGTTTGGCGTTTAGGGTTAGGGTTTAGGGTTTAGGGCTTAGGGCTTAGGGTTTAGGGTTTAGGGTTTAGGGTTTAGGGTTTAGGGTTTAGGGTTTAGGGTTTAGGGTTTGGGGTTTGGGGTTTGGGGTTTGGGGTTTAGGTTTAGGGCTTAAGGCGACTAAACACTTTCCGTCGCAGCAGCTAGGCTTCTGTAAGACGGCGTCCTCCTTTGCCATGGTGACAGTGAGTTTCTCGCCAGGCATGGCAGCCTCAAACGGGCTGCAACGCTCGAAGCCTTAGGGCGTCACGAAGCCTTAGGGCGTCAACATAGGGGTCAAGATTCAAACCTTCATCCCGAACCCTCTAGATCCTAAGCCTTCTACAGTAAGTCCTTCAACCCTAAATCTTCAGGTGGGCGGGTTTAAGGTGCCAAAAAAAACAGCTTGAGAGGTTGTACACAAATACGTTCGCAAAGACATGCTTGGGTTTGCGCAGTGTCAACGCGTGAGTTCCACTTCATCGCAGCAACGCGCGCACTCCTTCCCAATGGGACATCTCGGAATCTCGCACCTTTCTATGGGACCTTTTGAACAGTCTTTGCCAACCAGACGGCCGTCTTCATGCCCTACGTTACTACACCTATGTGCCATGAACTTGGTCGTGCTCAGGCTCAGGCTTGAACCCTGTGGCTTCGCCGCGTCATTGGTCGCTGCCTTTTAGTCCACATTGCAACGTCAGAGCAAGTACCTGGATCTGACAGAAGCGTTTGACATACTTCAAATGGGGCTCGAAACAACGGCCACCAAAGCCTTTCTCCGAGATCCTTTGGTATCCCTACCAAGGGACCTAGGGCTTTGGAGTATGGGCTTCCCTTCATACACCCCCTGACATGGCATATAAACACTGAACCCTAAACCCTAAACCCTAAACCCTAAACCCTTCAGATTCTTGTCCAGGACTCAGGCGACACGACAGGCATTGAGCTGTTCAGCTCAGACACCGGGAGTATGGAGGCGTGGGGCTTTGACAGGGGCTCGGGGAACTTAGCAACTGGGCTCTCAGCAAAATTTAGGGTTTAGGGTTTCTAGGGCTTATAGGGCTTATAGGGTTTATAGAGGTTTAGGGTTTAGGGTTTAGGTTTTAGGGTTTAGGGTTTAGGGTTTACGGACCTGGTTCAACTTCTTGACCCCAACGTTTCCCGAAGCCTCTGAGAAAAAAACAGGTTGCACTTGTGTGCTTACTTCAGCTTACGAAAAGTCTTCACACTTGACAGGAACTTATCATCCGCATGAGCCATAAATCCATGAAGGCGACGGATCCCAGAAATCATAGGTGCGGAGGTAAGTCGGGGTTGAGGGTGTAGGCTCCAGGGTGTAGAGTTCAGGTTTTAATGTCCCTAGAGCCTAAACCCTAAACCCTAAACCCTAAACCCGAAACCCTAAACCCTAAACGGTCCTGAACCCTAAACCCTTCAAAAACAAAATGGCCCTGTAGGCCCATCATGCTGGGGAGCCTCCTCGGTGCACTTCTGGGCCTTGGCCTTGGGCACCGGTGCCTCGGCTTGAGGGGTTGAGGGTTTGGCGGGGTCGAGAGGCAGGGACCCCTAAACCCTAAACCCTAAACCCTAAACCCTAAACCCTAAACCCTAAACCCTAAACCCTAAACCCTAAACCCCTAAACCCCTAAACCCTAAGCCCTAAACCCTAAACCCTAAAGCATCCATACTTTCTTCTGGGCCCCGTCCCATACTTACTCACACAAGAGCCTCATTGACGAAGCGAAAGGACCTTATCCCCTGGGTTCGGGAAAGCCCTTGAAGAGGGGGTTTAGGGTTTAGGGTTTAGGGTTTAGGGTTTAGGGTTTAGGGTTTAGGGTTTAGGGTCCCCACAAACCCTAAACCCTGAAATTCTGGGGCTTGAAGTTCCCAGCCCTGCAAGGAGTGGCGCCCCGGGTTAGAAGTAGAGTTGCAAGGCCCATACACATTGGGTTATGAGGATCCAAACTTGGGTTCTTAGTTGCTGACTTCAGAAGCCCCCAAAAAGTATACACTTTCAGTTCTACAGGGGAATATTATAGTACCCCAAAAGTGTAAAGTGTACTCACTCAGCTACTAGGGGTTTTAAGTCCCTTAACAATATTTAGTGTAGTAAGGCTACAGTATGTAGGATGCCCGTCAGGACGTACGTACGGTTTCAGGTGCGAGCCCTCCCCAACCCCCCACAAAAAGAAACACACCCAAATCTTCCCTTCCCTGTCGCAAAGGGTCCAAGTACCCATGTAGTATATACTTGGGCCTTCAAAGGGTTCCTTTTCTAGTAGCTTTAGGGCCCAAAATATATACTATATAGGTACATGGACCCTTCGGGTGTGTTGTTACGGTCTCGTGGCGGCTTGTGGTATCAGGGCTTAGGGTTTAGGGTTTAGGGTTAGAATGCCGCTTTCGTTGATAACGCGCGCTGCCATGACGTACAACGGAATTTTTGCTTGGTGTCTTCCCAGTTGGCGGGAGGCGTTGACGGGCATTGCCCTGAATCCGGACCCCACGCCCTGCAAATCCTAGTTGGGCCCCAAACCCTATAAACCCTCTAAAGCCTGAACCCTAAGTCCGATTAAAACAAAAACAAAAGCATGGACAACCCTGAACATAAAATTGCTATAAACCCTAAACCTTGAACCCTCGCACCTTCTTCCGCTTCCTCTTCTTCCGGGCTGCAGGAGGGTCAGCGGGCACCTGGTCCAGCCAACATGCCCACTCTTGTGGGGTTCGGGTTTAGGGTTTTGATGAGTTAGCGAAACTACAGTTAGTGTTAGAAGTACCGGATTTATGTTGCAGAGTAGACCCTAAGTTGGGGCTGTGCTGACACTTTCAAGCCCCAGTCCTCAACTCTATAAACCAGACAAGGCTTCTTCTTATATCCTCAACCACAAGCCGCTGCATGCTGCTCGCTTTGGGCATACAGTCCACCCCCTCCCCCCCTCGTTCACGTTTCGACTTTCAGACACTTTTCGCAATTTCTCGACTTGTCTGGGCTTTACCGACTTTTACGCGTTTCCATGTTTTTGCTTTTCCACTTTTCGACTTTTCGACTTGTTGACTTCTTCGGTTGATTTTTTGTTGGGGGGGGGGGGGGGAGTCCGAAAAGTCGAAAACTCCAAAAGTCCCGAAAAGTCGAAAAGTCCCGAAAAGTCATATCGAAAAGTCGTAAACTTTTCGACTTTTCGACTTTTCGATTTTTTTGCATCTCCGCTTAATTAAAAGAACGGGGTCTTGCGTGCTTAGAGTTGGGCCCCCCCCCAAACCGGGGGGGGGGGGGGTATACGCCTCATGTTGAAAAGGATACATAAAGCAGTCTAACCCCCTCAAGACAAAGGAACGAGGGCGCACTCTGTGTACTTCGGACATGCATGACTGTCTGGGCCCAAGCACAACCCAAAACCTCAACGCCCCAAAGCCCTGAGCCCTACAGAGTAGGGCTTGGGGTTTAGGGTTTCGGGTTTAGGGCTTTAATCCACAAACAAGGGAAGAGGCCCCACTGGGTTTAGGGTTTAGGGTTTAGGGTTTAGGGTTTAGGGTTTAGGGTTTAGGGTTTAGGGTTTAGGGATCGCGCCTCCCCCTCGCCCCCTTTGCCGCCCTGGAGAAGATCCTTGCGAGGTGGTTTCAGGGCTTACAAGGAAGGGCCCCCTACTTATAAGTAGAGTTATAAGTGCCCTAAGTTGAGTTATAAGGATCCCAACTTAGGTTGTAAACTTAATTTTGGGGTTACTCTATTTAGGGGCAGCATAGAACCTGCTATTTTGTAGGGTTTGGGAGTCACAGGTTTTCAAACTCCGCGACGTGGGAGTAAGCACTGCCCTTATGATCAACTCCACCGCAGCCTGCATCTCCTTTGATGGCTTGTGCCCTAAACCCTAAACCTTAAACCCTAAACCCTAAACCCTAAATCCTAAACCCTAAACCCTAAACCCTAACCCCTAAATCCTAAACCAACACATGAAGGATGAAGCCTATACTGGCTGCGCCAGAAGGACGAGCAACCGAGCGCAACTTCGCAGGACTTGGGGCTTAGGGCGGCTCAAAACCGGGCAGTCTAGGTAATACGAGATGCGAATGAAATCTCACAGATCGTCCCCTTATGCTCCGCGGTAGAGTGCTAGCAAAAAGCCGCCAAAATGCCAAAATGCACCTTCGAGGCAAAACAGGCTCGAAACGCAACGCTATAGACTCTGACAAGCGATCATCTGAACCATGCACCCGGCACCCCAACCCCAAACCCTAAACCCTAAACCCTAAACCCTAAACCCTAAACCCTAAACCCTAAACCCTAAACCCTAAACCCTAAACCCTAAACCCTAAACCCTAAACCCTAAAGCCTAAACCCTAAACCCTAAACCCTAAACCCTAAACCCCTAGCCCTATACTTCCGCTGCTTCGGGAAGCCAGGTTTCTTAGGGGTTTAGGGTTTGGGGTTTAGGGACTGGAAGACTCCCTCCATACCCTAAACCCTACACCCTCGAAGATGTGGGGGGTTGGGCGCGTCCTCCAGAGCTGTCGCCTGAAATAGAGCAGGATGCAGGGAGCCCAAGACCCAAATGCATTGAGGGTTTAGGGTTTGGGGTTAGGGTTTAGGGTTCTGGAAGATGCATGAAAATCTCAAATCTCACATAGAAATCCTGATGATGCACAAGGCTGTATTCCTTACTCGAGAGAGGTCCTGCACTTGAGGGTTCGGGTTCCAGGGTTGGGGGGCGCGGTAGGGTGTAGGGTTTATGGGGTTTAAGGTTTCGGGTTTAGGGAACACCCCCCCCCCCCGCACCCAAGCCTTAAAACAAACATGCAAAATCACCTTAACTGCAAACCCCAAAACCCGTACATACACCCGGACTTGATCCTTAGGGGTAAAACCAAAAGGCAACCTACATACTTGCGGATTGAGACCCTAAACCCTAAACCCTAAACCCCAAACCCCAAACCCTAAACCATGAACCCTAAACCCTAAACCCTAAACCCTAAACCCCAAACCCCAAACCCTAAACCCCTAAACCCCTAAAACCCCCCAAAAAACCTAACCCCTCAATCCTGCCTCAGCCCTGCAAGCCTTAAAGGCCCTACAAGCCTCAAACGCCGCATACGCCCAAGGAAGAGGTTGAGAAGCTATGTCCTCACAAGAAAATGTAGAAGAGCATCCTCAAAAGTTTGGCAAGTGGGTTTCTGGGATTTCTGGGAAGCCAGTGGGTTTTGACCTTTTGTGATGTGCATGTTTTTGCTGAAAAGTTTGAAAGTACATCAAATACATATAACAACATAAGCATGCCACAACAATAAGGGTACAACACAAGATTGACCCTGCAAGCCACAGTAGCCTATAAGCCCTAAGCAAAACCCGACAGCCCTTCGAGCTGTGTTTTCTTGCCGTGCTGAGCTCGTTCCTTCATTCCAGAGCTCTCCCAGAATAGCACTCAGCACCCTAAACCCTATAACCCTCAACCCTGAACTCTAAATAGCCTTAAACCCGAAACCCTAAACCCTAAACCCTAAACCCTAAACCCTAAACCCTAGACCCCTAAGCACTCTGGGCAAGTAAGGCTTATGCTTCGGGATGGCTTCGGGACTATGGTTGAAATTCAAGGTCTTCGGGCTTTGAGTGTAGGGTTTAAGGGCTTCTAGGGCTTCGAGGGCTTCGAGGGCTTCGAGGGCTTCTGGGGCTTCTAGGGCTTCTAGGGCTGTCAGGGTTAGGGTGTACGGCTTTCAGGGCTGGCCCTTCGACTATACCCTCCCCCCCTTTTTGCTCTGTGGAAGGAGCTCGCCCTCAAGGGTTACAGTAGGGTTTAGGGTTTAGGGTTTAGGGTTTAGGGTTGCGCTAAAGTCCTGCGCTAAACCCGAACCTCCTCGACCCGACTTTGCCAGGGCTGGTGCCACTGTAGAGGCCCCACCCGCTGGTGTCTGATCCTCCTTGTGGGAGGGCAAACGGCTTGAGGGCTTTACCATGGGTGAACAAATCATCTAATAGCATCCATTCTTTGCCCACTACCCCAGCTGAATAGCAGCTGAGCGACATCAGGTTCCAGTCGGCTACATCAAAGGCATATTTAAGGTCAGCAAACAACAAGTATGTCAAAAGCCCTTGGTGCTGCCGAAGTTGGGCATGCAGCGCCAGAGATACGACAATGGCAACTACGTCAAACTTACCTCCAAGCTGCATGTGACCTGTGTATTCATAAAGGAAAGGTGTACATCGCCCCATCCACAGTGAATCTTGCAGGGAGGATAGGTCAGAAGCTGGGCTCCAGACTGAATGATTTATACACTGGCACTGATTTCAAACGTTTGTTGCCAATCCGGTATAGGAAGCTAGCCCACGGGTATGTACGACATGTTGTACCCCAGCTGTGGCCTCCGTCTATGTACCAGCTGTACCGCCAATGAGCCTCTTTGGCATCACTCTTCCAAGTTGGGTGGTGTGCTTTCCGGGACTCTTTGCACCGGAGCATCTGGGCCAACCACCGGTAGGGGTGGGCCGTGCAAGACCCGAATTGGTTCCAGCAACACATCACCATATGGGGATACCGGCCCGAGGTGGTTGTGGATGAAGTTCTGGCGAAGGTGAAAGTACCATGTACGAACCATTCGGCCAGCATACCCAAGCGGCAGGGTGGGCCCTGGGCTGAGCTCGATACACCATGTCTGAAGTCTCTGTCCGGGTGTAATGCACCGGTGGGGCCGCAGCATAATCCCTAAACCCGAAACCCGAAACCCTAAACCCTAAACCCTAAGCCTTGCCCCGCCAGCATCCTGGAGGATGAAGACCGGCGCAGGTCGTGGAGGTGGTGGTGGTGGTGCAACGACTGGCACCTGTAATTAACCCTAAACCCTAAACCCTAAACCCTAAACCCTAAACTCTGAACCCTAAAGAGTTGAGGGTTTATGGTTTCAGGTCTTGGGGGTTTCGGGCCAAAAGTTTGGGTTTCGGGCTTAGGGTTTGGGTTTTGTGAGCTAAGGCAAGAGGAGGAAATCACCTTGGCTCAGAGCGTTTAGACCCCAGTCTTCCAACAGCACTCAACCCTGAAAACGCGACTGGTTGCTAAGGGAAATCGGATACGCATCCGAAATAGCCCGAACGGTAAAGCCTTTCGGGGCTTAGGGCGTTAGGGCTTGTATTTATGAAGCCCTTGACTCTAAAGAAAAAACCGAACCCTAAACCCTGAACGCCAAACCCAAAACCCCAAGCCCTAAAACCCAAACCCTTAACCCTAAACCCTATATACCCCAAACCCTATAAACCCCAAACCCGACACCCCAAACCCTAAACCCCAAACCCTGAACCCCAAACCCAAGATCCTAAACCCTAAACCCCAAACTCTAAACCCCGAACCCCAAACCCCAAAGCCGAAACCCCAAAACCCAGACTCTAAACCCTAAACCGCAAACTCGAAACCCTAAATCCCAGACCACAAACACTAAACCCCAAACCCTAAACCCAAACCCCACACCCTAAACCCCAAACCCCAAAGCCGAAACCAAAAGCCTCAAGCCGCTTCTTTGCCAGCGTGGCGATCTGGGCCTGAGGCAGGGGCTGCTCTGGTTGCTTCTAGGACTTCTGAAATCCCCAAACCCAGAACGTGACCCCAAACCCCTAAACCCTATCAACCCTATGATCCTAAACCCTAAACCCGGGTGTAGGGCAAAACAGCCTGAGACCGAACCCCCAACCCCCCCTCCCACCGCAAACGGTTCCGGGTTTGGGCTCTGGTGTTTAGTGTGGTTACCTTTGCTTTTTACTTGGATATTCGTGGAAAGTCACCAAGAAAGGGGATCAGGGGGCACTACTAGGACTCCTGGAATCCCAACCCTCACCGTGCGAACGCGAGACCAGCCTCCTGAACCATCCGCATACCCAAAACCTGAATGAAAAGACCTAAAGGACCCCACACAAAGAAAAATCACACCTCAAGACCTAAGCCTTACTTGGGATGTTCCCCCTTATACTGACGGATCATAATAGGGGGGGTGGGGTGCCTCGAACGCCTGAGCCCTACAAGCCCTCCTCTGCTCGGGCCTCATGCTTCCGCTGCTGCACCGCGCTGAAGAGCCTCAAGAAGACATCAGCAGCTGAAGATTTTAGGGCTAAGGGTTCAGATTTGGGCTTTGGAGTTCTTTATTATTATTATTTATTCTCATTATTTTGTTTTTTTCCTTTTCTTTTTTTTTTTTGGGGGGGGGGGTGCTTTCTGGGCCTTGTAGCTGTAGATACGGTTTGTCTTCAGGGTGCTGTTTGGCTTCACAGGGTCTGCCAGGGCCTTGTCTGGGTTTTCGGACAAAACCTAAACCCAACCCCTCCCCCTCTCCCCCCTCGCCTCAAAGAACCCAAACCCTCAACCCTAGACCCGAACAAACCAAAACAAAAAACAAAAGGGGTGCTACTTAGATTACCCCCCGTAAACCTTTCAAATCCCATGAACCCGCTGAACCCGGTGAACCCCATATAAATCCTACAATATACCCAAAACAACCCTCTAAACAGACTCCCCAAAGCCAAAAGGACCGATGAACTCTAAAATGCAGACCCTATAAGAACCCAGAAACTATTAACCTTTGCTGTGAGTACGAACCGTCAATCGCATGAAACCTTCTAAGCCCAAGACGCCCTGAACCTTGTGATGTTCCTCCTTCATACTAATAGTCCCTTTTAGGGATTGTACTGGGGATACGAGAATCCCTACTAAGGACGGTTAGTAGAAGGGGGAACATCCCAACCTGAACCATTAAAAGCTTTCCCCTAAACCCTAAACCCTAAACCCTAAACCCTAAACCCTAACCCTAAACCCTAAACCCTAAACCCTCTAAGGGGCCAACTTGGTGAACTTCGACAGCGTCGGCTCGGCCACGGGACTCCTGCGTTCGCAGCTCGTGGGTTTTCAGGTTATTCGGGGTTTGAGGGGGTAGGGTCTAGGGTTTAGGGTTTAGGGTTTAGGGTTTAGGGTTTAGGGTTTAGGGTTTAGGGTTTAGGGTTTAGGGTTTAGGGTTCAGGGTTTAGGGTTTAGGGTTTATCTGAAGGCTCTGATGTCGGTTCCGTTTGGGTAGCAATCGTGGATGCCGAGTATACTACCCCAAAACATGTACAGCATAGGAGCCTATTGCTAAGCCAGATGGGACTGAGGGTTTGGGATTGAAACCCTAGACGCTGAATACCCTAAACCCTAAACCCGAAATCGTAAACCCGAAGTCTAGGCTCAGAGGTTTGAGCCTCTGATCAAGGGTAATTTTGCCCTGTAAGACCTAGAACCCTAGAACCTCAGAACGGTAGAACCCTGGAACCCTAGAAGCCTACAACCCCAGAACCCTAACCCTCAGACCCTCGAACCCTAGAAGCCTAGAAGCCTCGAACCCCAGAACCCCAGACCCCTAGAACCCGAAAACCCTGGGACCCTAGAACCCTCGAAACCTAAACGCTATATAAACCCTACACCCGGCCGAAACCCTAAACCCAACCCCTTAACCCCTAAACCCGAAACCCTAAACCCTGAACCCTGAACCCTGAACCCTGAACCCTAAACCCTAAACCCTAAACCCTAAACCCTAAACCCTAAACCCTAAACCCTAAACCCCTGGCCTCGGGAAGGGCCTGCCGCTCCGCTGGAGGAGGCCGATGCGGAGTCCGTTGCTCGTCTGCTGCCGGTACCTTCGCCGGTTTAGGGTTTAGGGTTTAGGGTTTAGGGTTTAGGGTTTAGGGTTTAGGTTTTAGGGTTTAGGGTTTAGGGTTTAGGGTTCAAACCCTAGAACCCACGGCCCAAAAACCCAAAACTCTACAGCCTAAACCCGGAACAACCTATGAAAACCCTCAAGAACCCTACACCCCAAGCCCGAAAACCCTGAAAGCACAGAGTGCTGCTAAACACCCTACAGCCCTGAAACCCCGCAAGCCCAAAGCCCCAAACCCTGCACCTGGACCCTAACCTTAAACCCCAAACCTCAAACCCTAAACCCTAAACCCTACACCCTAAACCCTAAACCCTAAACCCTAAGGCAGTTTGCTGAGCTTCAGGCGGAAGGCCATTCTTGTACTTCAGCTCGAACCTGGGTTGAGGCTTGATTAGGGTTTAGGGTTTAGGGTTTAGGGTCTAGGGTTTCGGGTTACCTGGGTTGAGGCTTGATCAAAGGGTTCGTGGTGTCCGGCGTGGCCTTGGAGCTTCGGGTTTTTCCGGATTGTTGATGACTTATTTAGGGTTTAATTAGGGTTTACGGTTTGGGGATTAGGGTTTAGGGTTTAGGGGGTTAGGGTTTAGGGTTTAGGTTTGAGGGTTTAGGGGGTGCAGGTTTGGGGTTTAGGGTTCATGGCGGCATGGGTTCTAAGGGACCACCCCACAGACCATGATCTTGCTGAATTGTTGAAGCCCATGAACACTAAGCCCTCAACCCTCTCTTCATTGAACATCTTCTGAGAGTCTGTCGACTGGGAGCCGGTTATCACCACCCCTCACCCCTCAGCCCTCTCGGCCCTATACCCTAAACCCGAAACCCTGAAACCAAGCCCCACACTCTAAACCCTAAACCCTATCCTCCCCCCCCCCCCCCCCCCGCCCCAAGGGTTTAGGGCTTAGGATGCAAGGGGTGGCAAAGGGTCTGAGCTTCGGGCTCCCGGTTGTCCTTCCAGTTGAAGACCTTGCGTGCAGGTTGCTCTAAAGCCCTACCTGAACTCTTGGAATCCCAAGCCCTTGAAACCTCAAGTATTAGGGCATTAAGGTTTAGCATCCCTACCTTCGTTCTGCGAGGGTTGAGGGTTTAGGGTTTAGGTTTTTTTGGTTTAGGGGTTGTTTTATGGGGTTTGGGGGTTTAGGGGATAGCCTCCGCGGTTTCATTCAGCATCTTGCCCCTATCTTCATGACTTGCAAGCTCACAAGAGTCGAGCCAGTCGCCTTCTTTTGCCCTTAGCTTTAGTGTTACGTTTAGCTTTAGCTAGCATTAGCTTTAGCTTTCGCTTTCACATTAGCTTGCAATTTAAGGGTTTGGTGTTTAGGCCTCCACACCTATTTGCCACGCAGAATTTGCCCAGAAGTCCAGGGGCAGTGTCGAGTGTTTATCGTTGGGGGTTTGAACTTCGAAGGCTTTGGGTGGTTCAGGGTTTACGGTTTAGGGTCTAGGGTTTGGGGTTTAGGGCTTAGGATTTTTAGGATTTCTGCGGCTATTTGGGGGGGGGGGGGGTCTGCTAAGAGAAGCCAGCCACTTCGCTAAACCCATAAACCCTAGATGACAGTACTCAAAAATGAGGTTTTGGTACACCTAAGTGGGGGTGCGGGGGGGTATCCTGTTCTCAGCAACCTGATCTTCGTAATCAAGTTACTTAGCTTTTAGGGTTTAACTCGAACTTTCGCGTGCCTCAACAGGGATCATCCCAAGCTGTAGGTGCTTGTAGGTGAAGAGCCGACGGTTGTCCACGCACCTTTTTTTGTGGCTTAGGGTGTCTTAAGGGCTTTTGGGGTTTAGGGTTTAATTAAGGCTTTTTTCGGGCTTTGTGCTTTTTAGGGTTTCGGGGGTTTCTGCTTTCAGGGTTTAGGGAATGTGGCTGCGAGCTGCTGGGTTTGAGGTCTAGGGTTTAGGGGTTTTAGGGTTGGATCAGGCGCTTGGGGCAAACCGACTGGAAGCGCAGGGCCTTTAGTAGGCAAAAAGGGTCACAAAATACCCTGAGCTGAGCTATCCGACTGGCAACCTGAACCTGAAGTAGAACATTCTCGCTAAGTTCCCTGAGCCTGCAGAGCACCCCAATCCCTAAACCCTCGGCCCCAAACCCCAAATGCTAAACTCCCAAAGCCCAAAAGCACCGAAAAAACCTCAAACCCACGCAAATGGAAGCCTCGCACCGATCAACGTCCTCAAAGCCGAAACGAGTTTAGGGTTTAGGATTTAGGGTTTAGGGCTTCAGTATGAGTTTTGGGTTTAGGGTTACGGGTTTGGCGCTTTGGGAGGCTTTCGGGGCTTCGCGTTGAGGGCTGCAAGGAGTTCGAGGATGGTCTTGGCCTTCGGGTCTTAACGTCTGAGGCTTTAGGGCTTCTGGCTGCAGGTCTTATGAAAGGGCTTACGTAGAGTTGAGGGTTTAGGGTTTAGGGTTATACGAGACCAGTGTCCGAGGCCACTGCCAGTAGGCACCTTTCTTGGCGGCCACACGGATGAGCGGAATGTCCCAAGGTGTCTTGTCACCTTCCCGAACAAAGCAGCCGGGAATTTTAGGGCGCGCGCGGCTTGAACCCTTCAGTTTGGGGCCTGGGGTCTCAATTCAGGGTTTAGGGATATAGGTTTGGGTTGAAGACATAGGGCTGAGGATCTAGATTTTTACGACAAGCATGGCCGTTCCCCTGTCCGAGATTGGGAAGTCGTGTCGGCATGTTGAGGCCCACACGCTACAAACCGGCGTGCAAACCCTAAACCTTCAAAAGCCGAGGCAACCAACAACCCTCAAGCATGACTTCGTCTTAGTGGAAGCCATCATGCGGAAAACCTTGCTTGAGGCCTCAAGGAATTCAGTACATAGGTTCAAAGTCGAGTTCGAAGTACACGATCCGAGGTCAAACCGGATTCACCACCCATTTACTAAGTTCCCTCAGCCCTTCAGCAGCTGGGCAAGTAGGCGAAGGCCCACATATACTAGACCCAGGACTAACCTAAGAATAAAAAGGGTACCCTTCTTGGTGTTAAGGGGAGTATTATAAGGGAACCCCAACCCTAAAAAAGGGAAAACAGGGCCGCCGCCGGGTCAGTACCATATCATAACACTTCTGAATTGGGGAAACATGCACAACATCTCCTCCTGCAATTCTCCTCTTAGGTGGCTATATGGGGTACCTATTTCCCGACTTCCCTACTGAGAACCTCTAAGGCACTCCCCAAGGCACTACGACGAAGCAGGAAGAAACTAAAGCAGATGCTGGGGACAAGACTGACTTCTTGGATCGGATCGCGCAGGAAATGCAACTCTTACAGGTGATGTCGAGGCTTACCCTAAACCCTAAACCCTAAACCCTAAACCCTAAACCCCAAACCCGAAACCCTAAACCCTAAACCCCTGAACCCTAAACCCTAAGCCCTAAACTCCAAGCCCCTGAGGCCTCAGAGGGTTCAGGGACCAGACTCGGGGGCTGAACCGTGCACCCCTACATCGGCCCTAAACCCTATAAACCCTGAGCCCTATAAACCCCCTAAACCCTGAACCCTCAACCCTAAACTTTGCCCTAAACCCTAAACCCGAAACCCTAAACCCTAAACCCTAAAACCTAAACCTTGCCCTAAACGCTAAACGCTACACCCAAAGCCCCAAACACTAAACGCTAAACCCTATATCCAAAGTAACTGCTGCCTTTCAGGATCGACTCCATGAGGTCTAAGACACTGCCAGCTCTCTCCTTGAGACGATTAGGGTTTAGGGTTTAGGGCGTAGGGCTTAGGGTTTAGGGTTGAGGGGTCCAGCGGGGTATGTGCGGTCTAGGGGTTCAGTGTTTCGGGGTTGGTGGTTTAGGGGTTTCGGGGTTTTGCGTTGGGGTGGGTGTTGGAGATCCCCATCTAGCATCCCCTTCCCCCTCCCCCCATTAAAAAAATGTATATATATATATATATAGATTTAATATAAACAAAAACACAAGCAAAAAGCTCATTCCAGAAGCCATGGCACCCAACTCCGACTCCGGCAACTCTGGTAGGGTTAGGGTTCAGGGTCACTGGTTAAGGGTTCCGAACCCTACTTCCAGCAACTGCACTGAAAACTCTGGAGCTCGCACATGGGACGTGCACGCATAGTAAGGCCCCCTCTCTCCATGTTTGAAGGGTGCCTAGGCTACTGAATCAGCGAAAGCCGTGGGGGAAACAAAAGCAGAGCCAAAGCCTCAAAACCCTCAACCCTATAAACCCTAAAAACTAAACCCCAATCCCAAAACAACGCGGGCTCCGAGTTGGCATTGAAGGTATCGTAGACGTGCTCCTCACGTTGGGGCCGTGCTGGTCTAAAAAAGCGGCTCTTGTTGCCGGATTTCGGGTTTAGGGTTGGGATGTTCCCCCTGATACTAACAGTACCCTTAATAGGGATTATAATGGGCGGGGGGTTAGGGTTTAGGGTTTAGGGTTTAGGGTTTAGGGTTTAGGGTTTAGGGTTTAGGGTTTAGGGTTTAGGGTTTAGGGTTTAGGGTTTAGGGTAAAAGGGTAAAAGGGAACCCCAGGGTTGACAGACACCAAAGAGAGAAGCCGAGCATGCTGTCAACAGTGGAAAGCCAAGAGGCTGAACGCACATGCTAGGGTTTAGGGTGCACAGGGTATAGGGTATAGGGACGCACATTCTAGGGTTTAGGGTTTATAGGGTATAGGGTTTAGGGGTTTCCGGGCTTAGTAAACTTGGAAGGCACAGTTCTGTGCCCAGTCGTGCAATGCTTCTACCATCTCCTCGGAATACGACATGTTGGAAACACAAACGCCCCAAACACCCCTTACTTACAGTTTACAAAACGCCTCATCTACGGCATGGATCCGAACGACGCAAAGGCCATGATCCCTGTCGGACGTTAGCTCCATCAAGCCCAATATAGCTTTTTTAATGAATTGGCCTGGGTATTCTGGGTAGTTAACACAAAAGGTGCGACGGCGGCAGGGGGGTAGAGGGATGGGGGGGGGGATAGATATCTAGGCTCCTGTTCTCGGAAACTGCTCCGTAGTACCGAAACCCTCACACTCTAAACCCTTAACCCCTCAAACCTTAAACCCTAAACCCTTCGAACCTAAACCGATAAACCCTAAACCTTAAACCCTAGATCCTAAATCCCTAAACCCTAAATCCCTAAACCCCTAAGTGACCCCTTTCCTGGGATCCTAGGCTAAGCGCCTTTGGGTTAGGATAAGCCTGGCAAAACCCAAAGCTCTAAAGGCCCCCATTCTACCCAGAGACCATCGCATGGAAGGTAACTAAATCCACCCTGAACCCCAAAACCCTACATCCCTCAATCAGAAGCCTAAACCCCTAAACCCCAAAACCCGTAAATCAGAACCCTAAGCCCCTCAACGCCTAAACCCTAAACTCTTGGACCCTGAACTTAAGGGGTATCTAGGTTGCCCAGTATCCTAGGATTAAAAAGGGTGCCCTTTTTTGCTTAAAGGGTTTTATAAGGGAACCTACACCCCCCCAAAAAGGGGAAAACCCTCCCAAGAGAACCCCTAAACCCTAAACCCTAAACCCTAAACCCTAAACCCTAAACCCTAAACCCTAAACCCTAAACCCTAAACCCTAAACCCTAAACCCTAAACAGGAGGGACCCCTCCCAAGAGAAGCCCTCAGGTCCCTGACGATCTCTCCTTTAGTCCCTTTATGAACCCTTGGAATCTTTGAGCCCCGAACCCTCTAACCCCCGCCCCCTAAACCCTAAACCCTAAACCCTAAACCCTAAACCCTAAACCCTAAACCCTAAACCCTAAACCCTAAACCCTAAACCCTAAACCCTAAACCCTAAACCCTAAACCCTAAACCCTAAACCCCACCCCCTAAACCCTAGGAGGCAAGCAGCGGCGACCTGCGTGAAGCGGATCTCTGCCACGTCCATCAGCTTGGTGACCATGCTTCATCTTACTGCTTCTTACCGGAGGCTAATAAGTATCCCGCCTTACACAACCCCTTCATTTACCACCTCTATATCTATATCAAAAACATATAGAGGTCTCTATCTATCTTTCTTTCTTGCTTTCTATATATATATATATATACAAACCATGCTCAACCCAAAGCCGGCCTGGACCCTAAAAGCGAGGTTCAAACCAACAGTTTAGGGCTTCGAGTGTCTAACTTAGGCTTTAGGGTTTAGGGTTTAGGGTTTTGGGTTTAGGGTTTGGGGTTTGGGGTTTGGAGTTTTGAGGGATTACTGTAGAATGTCGGCCTTGGGGGTTAGGTCTGGGGGGGTTGAGTTAAGGGCTTTAGGTCGTTTTTTTTGGAGGGGGGCCAGGCGGGAGCTGATTGTAAGCCCGCGGCTGAACCAAAGAGGCTTGAACAGCCGCGGATGACTCGTGGGGATGTGCTTTCGTACCACGGCTGCAGTGGTTCACAAAGGGTACCCTGAACCCTCAACCTGAAACCCTAGCCCTAAACCCGGGTGCGAGCGCTTAGGGGGCTGGAACGAAGCTAGCCCAAGATGCCTTGCTTAGTTATGTCGCAGCAACCACCCCACAGCCAACTCCTCCTTGAACTCTCTACAAAACCCTAGGTTGCCCAGTATCCTAGGATTAAAAAGGGTGCCCTTTTTTGCTTAGAGGGGTTTATAAGGGAACCTACACCCCCAAAAAAGGGGAACAAAAAGGGTAGTACTGGGCATCCTAGTAAACCCAAGGAGCAAACTAAAACCGGTTTGGGGTTGAGTGTGACACAGGAGAAACCTAAGAAGAAAAGAACGGATACCCTTTTTGGCCTGTATAGGGGCTCCTACGGGAACCTAAGCCCCCCCCCCCCCCAGAAAAACAAACAAAAAAAAGTACTATGGCCACCCTAATGAAAAAAATGGTCTACGAAACTGTATGAGCCCTTGAAAATGTGCGGGGGGTGGCGGGGTGGTGGGTTTAGGGTTCAGGGTTCAGGGTTCAGGGTTTAGGGTTCTGGGTTTAGGGTTTAGGGTGGGAGGGGATAAACTTCCCCAACTCGTGAGGACCCAGGTGAAGTGTGCAAGTGGAAGGGGTGTTTCCCCTCTTCAGGCTGATGTTTCGAGCTTGGGGTTCCCTCAAAGGGTTTAGGGTTCAGGTTTAGGGTTTAGGGTTTAGGGTTTAGGGTTTAGGGTTTAGGGTTTAGGGTTTAGGGTTTA